CAGCAATTCTTTTCTGGTATGCCAGTCAACTGTTATTGTGGTTTTGCAAATAAATTTCTTCTAAACAAGGAAAAACAAGGAGTTATTTTTCCCCTAAATAAATTTATATTTTTATCTAGAAAATACATCTAAAATCAAATATTAAAAATAATTAAAAGCTTTTAATTTCATTTTTAGAATGTGTAGATTTCCAAATCTGCGAGTATCACCTGTTCTTTTTTAGATACACATTTTAAAACTGAAATTAAAAACTATTTTAATATTTTAATATATAATCTTCAGTGTATTTGCTAGATAAAGACACAACAATATTTGTGAAAATGAATTAATTTTCCTTGTTTAGTGGTTAAAAAAGATCAAATTTTTCTTTGCGTTAAAAAAAAATTAAAAAAAATGCAGTTTTGAAAATACACATTTTAAAAATGAGATTAAACCTTACTTTTTTTTTTTTTTTTAATATCTAATTTTAGGTGTATTTGCTAGATAGAAACATAATTTTATTTGTAGAAAACAATTTTACACTAGAGACTTACATATACCATATTCCAAAATATACACATTTTGAAAAGTGAAATTAAGAACTATTTTATTCTTAATATCTAATTTAAGTGCATTCCCCAGATAAAAAAACAAATTTATTCATAAAAAATCTTCATTCGTTTTCCTTGTTTACAACAACTTTATTTCGTGATTGGTGTGTTGGCTTCTTACTAGAAAACAATTTTACCCTTCCTTACAAAAAGTTCAACTTCATAAAATTTAACATTAAGATGAATTTGGAAAATATTTTTTTATTTTTACTTGCTATTTTGTTGTTAACTTAATTTTACCACAAAAAGCCTTTTCTCTTTTTAAACTGAAACAAATAGATTTCAGACATCATGTCGTATTTTCCTTCTGTTTGAAAACATTCTTTTATTTCCAGGTGTCATAGCTGTTGTATTTCCTTTTTTTTTTCTTCATTTCTTTTGTAAACAAATAGATTTCACATTTATTTCCTAAAACTAGTCAATTTAATGTTTTTAACATATTTTTGTTCAATTTTTTTTCTCTTACAATAACTGTATAAATATTGATAAAATTAAATTTTATTAACATCTGAAAGTCTTTTTCAATAGTGTTTCTTTGGATATGGTCACTCAGTAGTGATAGCATTAAAAAAAATAAACAATTTTGGTTTTGTAAAAAAATTTGATGCAGTTTCACAGTGTGAAGATGAAACCAAAAAAAGTTGATTTTTGATTAAACTGTCCATCTCTAATATATATATCCAAGCAACAATTTTCTGACATTTGTTTGAATAAGGATAATGAACAAGGCTTGCCTGAATTCTCAAAATTTCTTGCTTATAGGAAAATGTATATCCTTGATATTGACCCCAAAGAAATCTAGAAATCTTCTAATCAAAGTAGAAAAACAGAAGCATCTTGAAGTATTGTTGACACATTCCACAACATAAAAATGTATCCCTATGAAACATAAGTAAGGATATCATCAAAAGCCCTGAACTCTCTCTTTGCACATTGGACAAGGTAGAAATAGGCATAAAAAAATAAAGACCTTAGAAGAATAAGTATAAAAAATTATGGCAAACTTATTCATACAAATATGCATAACACTCCCAAAATACCAAATAAATCAAAATCTTTTACACTTTGAAGAAAATGAACCAAAACATACCTTCTCTTTAGATGCTATAAATGTTAAAAATATGGGCATCATCTAGCCAAATGTAGAGGACAATCAATGTGTAAAAGATGCAGACAGATGTCAACCACTTTGATGGAGAATTTGACAGGTATTAAATGTGTTGTCATGGAGACTACCTGCCATACACATGAATGTTTTTAATCTTGAGGAAAGCAAAAACAATCACAGAGATGAAATACAGAAGAAACATACCATTCCCAGAAGCACAAAAAATAGTAGAAACCCAAACCAGAAATGTATCCAACATGAGTATTCGGCATATGTCAACTACAACCAATACTAGTCGATTAGATAAATATAAATCTCTTAAGCGGCAACTAAGACTAGGATTGAATAACTGGCCAACATTCATAAAAGAAGATAACATAAAAAAACTGAAATCATGTCTATTTGTAATCACTGTAAAAACCAAATTAATAAATAAAAAAAACAAGCCAGTCCAAAGAAAACAAAAAAGAAAATGAATGAAACATGTCACAAACACCTTATCAACAAAAACCTTAAGAACTTCCTCTCATGACACTCCAAAATTATTTACCAAACAAAAGCCTTGCAATCATATCACAAACCTCTCCAATCCAGCCACAGGTCTTCCTTGTCAATGACTCTAAAAGTGAAATACCTAAAGAGGCAATAACTACCTAACCAAAATTCCCCAAATAAACTACAGCAATGATCCTCCTCAAAGAATAAAAAAACACAACTGGAAGAAGCCACATACTTAAAAATCCTCTGGAAACAATGAACCATTTCAACATCCTTAAAAACAAAACAATCCCCCACCTAAAAAAAAAAAAATCTACCAAATCAAAAACTTCCCCTTTTACTATATATGGACCATAAAAACATTCAGTGAAAGCTCCTGTCAAAAGAACTGATTTCCATTTTTAAATCTTTCTTCACAAATTTAAATCACTGATTACAAACTATTACTTTTGCTTGTTTTGACAACTGATACTGTTAACATTTACCACAGCATTATTATAGCAAGAGATATTTTCTCCTTGTTAGCAAAGAAATGATTTAAAAAAATCCCGTTTTCACCTGTTGAAGGTAATTCTTAAATTTTATAAATCTACAATTTGAAAAAAGCATAATTTTTAAATGAAAGTATAATTAATATAGAAGGATATTATATTGTCATCATAGCCAACAACACAACTAAAGAGATATTTCTGAAAAAATACTGTACAAATATCTGCATATTTCATTCTTGGTCTAAATGAATTAAAACAGAAAATATTTCTATATTAACATTAAATTTAAAAGTTATTAAAATCCAACAATTAACTGATTTTTAATTTTTGCATATAGTCATCTGATAGCAGCCAAAGTACTGTAGAAATGGACAATATCACAATTTTTTTTAAAAGAAAAACCTTAACAAGATAATTATATTTGAACTGTCCACATGACACCAACTGGTTATGTAATATGACAATAGCCTAGTGCAGGAGTGGCCAACTGCTCATATTTCATGTATTAATTTTTTATGCACAAGTTCTGATGCACCAGAAAATTTTTTTTTCTTCCTTGTAGGAATATTTATAAAATATAGCATAAATATAAAAAAAAAAATGAATATGACTTCCCCTTAATGTGACTTTTGAGTCTGTTTTGATTTTGCCAAAATGTTTACATAAATTAATTATTGAGGACAATAAAGAATTCTTTAAATTGTTATCAATCCATCAATCAGCATCTGTACCTTATTCCAAGACAGTCAACTCCAGAGGATACTTTTACTGACACTTGGATGGGATTATAACAATCAAGATGAAGACAACTGTATGAATAAATCAATCTTTAATAATAGTAACGGCTTGGTAATGAAAAAGTTATTTCAAGCAAGCAAGAGATCAAGAGCAATTGAAAAAAAACTACAATTAACTGTACCAAAAGCTATTCTTCATCCAACTATAAACCTCTTTTTGAGAAATAACTGATTTGAACAAGTACGAGTTTAAATTAGACCGACTGAATGTATTAATTGCCAAAAGCATTTAAAATGAGATGATGGAGCATGACATGCCATCAGGATAATACTTGATTGCATATTTTGTTTTTGTTTTTTTTTTTCAGTATATTATTTTACAGTTTTTGTATTATAACTTTCTTTATTCTTATTTTAGTTGTTTTTAAATGTCAATTTGTTATAGTTTTAAGAATATTTACTGCAATTTTTAAAAAGGATTATATACAGGTTGCAATGAATAAATTTTAGTTTGAATTCTGCAAAAATGAAAGTAACACTGACATCTCATTTTAACAGATATATTTACCAAAATTACACAAAAATAAAGAGTAAATTTATTCAATAAAATCGCCATTGGTTTCAACCACAGCCTCCAGTTAACTTCGGATTCTCCTGCAAATCTTCTGGACAGTTTCCTTGTTTAAGTTGGTGAATGCTGCCATAATCCTTGTCTTCAGTTCATCTTTGATTTTTACAAGGAATTTTGTTGGTCTCTTGCTTAACTGTACCCCACACATAAAGGGGTTGCAGTTTGGGGAGTTAGGTGGCCAGATGTATGGGGTGATGTGGTTGCAGAATTTGTCTGACAGCCATGACTGGATTCTACTGCTTGTGTGGCATGGTGCAGAGTCCTGTTGCCAGACAGGATATTCCACCCTCTTGACCCAGGTCAGCACTACCTCCTCAAGGAACTTGCTATAGGCCTGAGTCTGAGGCCCTCACCAACAAATTTGGGAATTTTTTTCTTATCAGAGTGAGTCTAATGGTAAAGGTGAGTCTAATGGCTTTTCCAAGCTGCTGTACCTTTGTAATCACCATTAGACTCATCCAACTCTTTCTGAATCCTCTGCAGAGTCTTCAGATTGACACTCTGAAATGTTTGTATTGAAGCTTCTGGTGCAAATGCCAAGCAGTACAGCATGCTGTTTCAAAATTTCTGGTGGAGTGAATTGCATCATGGTATTCTTTTTCTTACAGACAGTGCCCAACTGACACTACTATACTGTTTTATAAAATAAAAAGGAACAATGCACATGCACAAAATTAAAAAAAATATAAAATGGCAACAATTTATTCATCACACCCTGTAGTAGAACAAGAAATATTGCAATGTTAAACTTTCTTTCTCTAATGTTGAATGTTGAGTAAATTAAAAATGAATCAACTGAAAAATAAAAAAAGAAAAGCTTAAAAATCAGTTCTGTAATTTTATTGGCTTAATTTTGTTAAAAAAATCAACATTCATAATGACATTTTTTGCTTAGCATTTATATTTTGTATTGCAGGCTTCAGTAATTATGCTCTCTCTTTTCAGCTCCAATATGCACTGCAGAGGAACTTGTTGTTGCATACAAAAAGGGTTGCGAATTAAATGGTGTGAAGCCATGGAACAAAATTATTCAACAACTCTTGGTAAGCTCCACTTATTGATTTTATAAATCTTTACATTTCAGCTATTAACACCTGTAGAAATATTAGTGAAACGGTATTCGTTTTTTTTAACTTATAAAGTTTACACAGATTTTATTATGCAAGTCAATGTTTATGCAATAAAATAGGCATTAGCCAATGTTGGTAAAATTTTAGGGTATATTTATATAAGCAATGCATCATATTAATTACACCATACATTTATCTATCCTTATTATGGATATGATCAGAACTAAAAATACCCATGACAATAATAATTCAGAAGCAGGTATATATAAAATAAATTACCAGAACTGTTCCTCACAATACATTGGGGAAATTTTCAGAAATTTAAAATAATCTATCTATGAACACAAAAGGTATCTTACACACAACAATTTATCAAATGCATTAGTTATACATAGAAATAAATTCAGCTACAATATTGATCTAAAAAATGCAACACTTAGTAAAGAAAATAACTTTTTCGAGAGTGCCACTATTGAATCTTATCAAAATATAAATATATGTCCTGAATTTTTTTCCAATATTTCCATTCCTGAAATCCAACATACATGACTACAAAAATGTTAAAAAATTGAAAGTAAATGATTAAATCATTAACTTCATGTTATTCAAAATATATAACACATAAATTAATCCCAAACCAAAATAATTTAAATACTAATTTACATTAAAAAATTTCAAGACATCACTTACTTTCGTTTATTGGACATTGAATTGTCATGTCAGGTCCTCCATAGCTTGCCTGACTTTTCAGCTAACCTAATGAATACTTATGAGCATTCCTAAACTTTAAAATTTTTGATAACATTTTTGTTTGTGTAGATAAATACTTGTTACAAAATAAAATCCTTGCATTTGCCTTGATAAAGTCCCTCAGAGAAAAAAACGTGTTGGTTAAGATAAGTTTTTCTTTTTTTATTCATAATAAAGATGTTGACATTCCACACTACTTCAAATAAAAGGTTAGGAAGGAAATCCCAATAAATGCTGGAAAGTGTGATAAAAAGCTACTAGACTTGAGAAACCTATTTTCTAGAAAAATTGTTTAAGGAGAAAGTTTTTATAAATTTCAACTAACAGTAGCACTGGCTGCTCAGTCAATGAGTGCCAAATGTTTCCTTATAAAGAAACAGTTAATATTACAATTACCATTATTAAAAGTATTGATAATAGCTCTGATAGGGTGTCAGGTTTACATAAACTAAGTGGAAAATAATTTTTCATTTATGAGATGTGTTAAAAAATTATCCATTTGGTTATCTTGTGCAAAAATGAAAATCCAACAAGCATGCACTAAATGTCTATACATAACAGCTTGGAACTGATGCAGCCTATCGACACATAAATTCACACATGAATAGGAAGGGTGGCGTCACTTCTACCCAAAGGATTTTGCCTGTGTGGCATTAGTATTAGTAGGAAAAATAATCAGATACTTTTTGAATGCACCTTGTATATAAATCCAAAAGGTTCATAGAAACATGTTTGATTAATAAAATATTCCATATATCCGAATAAATTATTTTACATGTTAATATGAATCTCCTTGACATTCTATAACCTTCATCAGTTTTTAGTTATTGATTTTGTTAAATTTTTTCCTGTTTCAATTTTAACATTATTTGCAGCACTTTTATTGCTTTCCAGATATCTTATTTATTTGAATATTGTTTTCTTTTGTCAATCTCTAATGATGGACAAAAAATTTTCTGTTTATTTAATATCTGTAGAGGTTAGAATGATTTCATTAATTTGTTTTGAAGCCTTTTTTGGCAAGGTGAACAGTAGAATTGTAAAGGAGCATTATCTTGTATGAATATACACTTTATCTTAAATTTCTTTGGTTATGAACTGTACCACTCAAAAATGTATTGTCCAAGAATTGATTATATTACTCAGCATTTATCTTTCCATAATCATCAACTTTGAAAAAGCCTATAATATTACTGTTTATAATAGTGTCCCAAGACATTACTCTATCCTCCTTGTTGTTTTCTAAGTTGTGCTTGTTGACAATCTTCATGAAGGATCTAACCTCCAGCCATCTGGTCCATCCAGTGTAGCTCTACATTCATTGTTAAAATTATTAAGAAATCAGTTTTCACGTACATCTTTGCTCAGCATACATGTTTGTTTTCTTAAAAGCAGTAGTCTGGTTGCGTTCATGTCTTTTGCTAATATTCTTAATATTCAGCATCTTTTCTTTGAGTTTTCTTTGCAACATCAGTTTCTTGAAATATTTTCTTACTGGACAGTCCATTTTTGCTTATTATCCTCTTGAATTTTCTCAAATATCTTTTAAAGCTAGTTTTTTTTTTTTCTTGTTTTCATGCCAATGTTTTCATTTTTATTGTTCTATGATCTCTGTTCAACTTTTGTACAATTTGAGATATTTCCATCACTCAATAATTTTATATCTTGTTTATCTTTTAGAATCTTTTGTGTGAAATAATGAACAACTGTTTTATTGAATAATAAAATCTCATCACCAATTAAGTTATTGAAAATATTTCTAATAAAAACAGCTGAAATTCACAAGATATATTTATCATAAATAGAAATATATATTCTGATCATTTTACCAACATCAGTTTTGAGAAAATGTTGACTTGTATAATAAATCTGAGATCATCTATAAGGAAGCATAGAAGGGATATTAAATTTACAATTAATATATAATTAATAAAATAGGGTCATTAATAGGCTTTCAAGATGATGAATTTTATAAATATCAATAAGACACAAACTGATTGAGATTCATAAATAAAATCTGGTTTATTTTAGAAATATTAGATAATTTGTTGAGTGTCTAATATCAAAGTTAAATGAAGTCTCGAACAGTTAATTTATATTTCAGTGTTTTACTTAAGGTTAAAAATTTAAAGTTTTTTTTTTTTTTTTTAGGTTTATAAATATTAAGTTTTTATTATGAGTTTTGTTCAAACAGGAACCTAAATTGACTTCTTTTTAAAAAAATGTTTTTAGAATTATTTTTTTAATAGTTATTATATTAATAAAAAGTAGTACACGGCAAGTTTGTTCCATTGGCTAAATATAGTTAAAATGAAAGTCTGGTTGAGGGGTTTAAAAATATACATATTACTATTCTTGAATAATTAATTACCCAAAATTGCTTCATCATCAATATAGATAAATATCTATAAAAATAAATCTATAAATCTATATAAATAAATGTGAATGTCAGTGTGTCACATTTTTTCAACTTTACTCCTAGAGGCCATAGCTCAACATATCGTACCATTTTGGAATCAGGTTGACTCTATAAGCAAATTAAAAACATTCTGAGCCAGATCTGGACCTGCAATCCTGAAATTTTGAAGTTTTTATTACAGTGAATGTTTGTTGGCAAGATTTTTTTTTTTTTTTTTTTTTTAATGTAATTTTTTGCGACAAAATTTTTTGTATGATAACAATTTTTATAACTTGGAAATAAATTTGGGAAGAATTGAAGTTAATTGTGAAATCCAGTGAAACTCACCCATGAAATAAAAATAATTGTTTATACAGACCTATGTAAATGAAATTGTCTTTAAATTAAGTGGCAGCAGAAAAATTATTGTTGAATTTATTGTTAAGCTTAAATATTAATGCAATACTTACATGCAGTGATCAATTTTGAGTTCTGTAGTTTGTTGTTGCTTATTGCATACGGCAGCAGTAGGCCTCGCAAAAAGAATTATGCAAAGACTTAGGGACCCTCAAACTCTTGAACAAGCTGAAGGCTCAATCAAGAGCCCACCGCAGCAGCTAGCTTAAATGCTGTCTTATAGGACATCTTTTAAGCTAGTTAGAAATATCTGTATTGAAATTATCTAATTCGACTATTATTTTTTTCTGAAATCAGTCATAATAATATAAAAAAATTATGCCTTATACAAAATACTTAATAAAAACCTGTGGTTGGCATTGCTTTTATAAATTAGGAAGAAAATTAACAAGTCTTATTATAGAAATACAGGAAATAATGAATATTTTGTATGTAACCTCAAGAGAAAGTTATAAAGGAAAATTGAATTCTTGAAAGAGTTCAAGTATTAGAAAAAAGTTGATGTTTTTGTTGAGAGATTAGCTGAAGTTATTGTTAATTTTGAAGGATTAAAAATGGGGATGATTAAACAAATTAGAAGTATTTCACAAAGCTAATTTTCCTTTCTTCACTCTTTAAAAAAAAAAAAAAAATTTTAAACTCTCTTTTCTTGAAAGGTTTTTACACGGACTTTGTGTGTCATTGTGGATCAAAAGAAAGGAATAGACTTTATTTTCATCCTATAATTAAAAACAATAAAAATACTGTACTTGGTCAACATATGGGGGGTAGGGAAGGTGTTGGTCCTCAGTATTCTAATATTTACAGTAACATTGTTCTTTATTTTCTACAACACATTTATTCTAAAATCTTCCACACCCCATTCTCTCTAATTCTAAACTCATATTTACAATTTTGTGTCTAGGATGGATAGAAATGGATTCTTATTATACAATTAACATGTTTATCCAATAGATAGATGAAATAAATAATTCTACAGCAATTTATTATCACGGAATAGTAAAAATATGATGTAGGAGTAACAGGAAAAAACACTAAAATTATAAACACAAAGCTGCAGAACCTTCCATTATATAATAAGGAAGAAAGTAAGTGAGTGAAAAGCATAAATGAGTGACTAAATAAAATATGGCCAGTAAACAAACATTCTCTAGTTATGTTAAATTCTTTTTATTATTGATTTGTTTTTTATGGTTTATCAACTTTTTGTGGGTTATTTAAAGTTGAAATATTTTGGATTATACAAAATTGCTTAAGGCACCCAGGGTTCAAAAGCAATTCCCCATCTAAGTACTGATCGGGTTTAATGCTACTTCAGTGATTGAATGGGATCCAGTATTTTTAGTGTGATTAGATTGGAGGCTTTCTTTTAACAAAAGAGAGACAAAACTATTCTACAATAGCTTGG